TGTGTGTGAGTGTGTGTGAGAGAGAGAGAGAGAGAGTGTGTGTGTGTGTGAGTGTATCAGTGCTGTGTGTGTGTGTGTGTGTGTGTGAGAGAGTGTGTGTGAGTGTGTGTGTACCTGTTTTTCTATTCTGGTGGGGACTTAAACCTGAATTCTCACAGACTCATGGGGACCTAAATTGTGGTCCCCACGGGTAAACAAGCTAATAAATCACACAGAATGAAGTTTTTTTTAAATCTAAAAATGCAGAAAGTTTCCTGTAAGGGGTAGGTTTAGGGGTAGGGTTGGTGTAGGGCAATAGAATATACGGTCTGTACAGTAGAAAAACCATTATGCCTATACACAAGGATAGCAAACCAGACTGAGTGTGTGTGCGCGTGTGTGAGTGAGTGTGAGTGTGTGTGTGTGTGTGCGCGTGGGTGTGTGTGTCTCTGTGTGTGGTGTGTGTGTGTGTGCGCGTGGGTGTTCTCTTGAATATCAGATTAATTTATGAAATTAGGAGAGTTTAAAAGGGTAAGTTTGAAAGTTTAATGTTTTATTCAAAATTGGTTCATGTACCAATATATCAAAACATGTGAATTAGAGGTCAATCTATACTATATTTTTTACTTTGAAGTATGCAACACTCCAGTGTTATTTTACCATCACTGATACACTATTACAGTTTTTTTATATATATATTTTGAATAACATTTTATCCTTATATTTTAATTCTAAATGTAAATTTTTTTTTTACATTTTATTAGTTTTTTTAATGTCTACATAGTTTTTTTTTTATTTTAGCTGTAATTTTAGTTATTTTAGTACTTCAGCTTAAACTAGATGCCAAGGTGACATTTATCATTTAGTTAGTTTTTTATTTTCTAAATATTTTATTTTGTTTTTAAACATTTTATTTCAGTTAATATTTATTTTATATGAAAATTGTTATTTTAAAAGTTCATTTAATTTTTATGGTTTTAGTTTTAGTTAACAACAATCATACTAAACCCACATTAGGCCAAACAACAATTCCTGTTTTCCCAAATTTAAGACCTCTTACAATCACACCTTTTAGAATATTTAATATTTAAGACTTTTTATGACTTTAAATCTGATAAAAAAAACATAAAACAATACAAATTTTAGAAAACTGAATTCTAAGAGCTTTTACGGTAAACAGGGACCCTGTGTACTTTTTGAAGCTTCAAAAAGCTGATTATGCAAATACATTAAACTAAAGCCTATCTGTATATGTGACCCTTTCTCAATATTTAGATTTTGTTGCTCCCTCAGATTCCAGATTTTCAAATAGTTGTATCTCAGCCAAATATTGTCCTATCCTAACAAACCATACATCAATGGAAGATTATTTATTCAGCTTTGTGCGAGGATCACCTGCTGGGTAAATGAGCTCTCTTCCCGAGGAGCGACGCCGTCAGCGGCTCGTCTTTGAGCTCTTTCTTCATCACCGCAGGCCGACCGCGCAGACGAGGAGCTCCGTCACACGCCGCCATCATCTCCCTGAGACACACACACACATCAGCAAGAGTTATCCTGCTCGACTACAACTCAAACTATTAAAACACTGCTGTTATTGACAAACTGCTGAAATAACATAAAACAGAAATATTAAAAAAAAACTAAAACTAATAAACATGACAAAAGCATACAACAAAAATACTACAAATTAAGCTAAAAAATATGAAAAACATTTTTGTTCATCTATATAAAGCTGAAATAATATAAACTATAAATATTAGAATGAAAATTTCTAAATTAGAAACTGAAATAAGTTGAAGCATTAGTGGAAATAAATAAAAATGAAAATAGAACTAAAACTGAAATAAACAATTAAACTTAAATAGCAATATTTAAAAAAAAAAACTAACAAAATGAATAAAAATTAAACTAAATATTGAAAATGTGTCTTCATAGAAATAATGCTGATATGAAATAAAATATAAATACTAGATTTAAAAAAATTATTAACTACCATTTAAGGTGAAGTACTATAATTACTAACTGGAAATAAATAAATAACTAACATGGAACTAAACTAAAACTGAAACCTAAATAGTAATATTATAAAAACCCAAAACTAACAAAAATGACAAAAGCATAAAAAATGTATTTAATTTATCTAAAAAATAAATTAATGAATTTATCTAAAAATTAATTAAATACACTATTAAAACCATTTTGTTCATTTAAATAATGCTAAAATAAATTAAAATGAAAATACGTAATACTTAAACTAAACAAAATTAGAAACTGAATAAAATTATTAATAAGCTGAAGATCTGAAATTGCTAACTAAAAATAAAAAATAAAAATAAATGTAAATAGTAATATTTAAACTAGTAAAAAAGACAAAAGCACAAACTAAAAATGTAATTAAAATTAAAACTCAAAATATAAAAACAAAAATGAAAATATAAAAATAAAACTCAAAATATAAAAATAAAAATGAAAATATAAAAATAAAAGCTATACTAGCACATGAGCCAGGAGACAGGTTTCAGACTGATCAGCTCTGTGATTCTCGTCTCTCTCAGACCTCTACAGAACATCAGCAGTGTAACACATGTTTACTGACTGAACTCTATACGCAGAATTAAACGCTGAGAGAGCAAAATCCAGCCCTGATCCAAAAAAATGGAAATTCATTCATGCTCCATGTGCTCAGAAAACTCAGAAACGCTGCAGAAGAAGAAATCGATAGTGAACGCAGACAGAACGAAACCTCACACAATGTTTGTCCATCTGAATTAAGCCAAATACATTTTTTAGATGTTTATATAAACCCTAAACATTCAAATATGATTCACATATTTAAATATGCATTTTTCGGAACAAAACTTTAACGCATATGTAGCACATTAGTCGACGCATTCAGAACTGGTCTCCATCAATGAGTATAATTAACTGGAAGTAAATAACTAAAACTAAAACTGAGAGTAAAATAAATTAAACCTAAATAGTAATATTAAAAAATAATAACACTAATGAAAATAAAAAAAACAACTGAATATTAAACAAAAACCATTACAAATATTTTTTGTTCGAAATAATGCAGAAATAAAACGAACCATAAATATTAAAAATGAAAAACTTAAACAAAATGAAAATTAGAAGCACTAAAATGTCTAACAGGAAATAACTAAAATGGAACTAAAACTGAAATAAAAATAAATTAAACCTAAATAGTAATATTAAAATATAATAAAATAAATAAACAAATAAAACTACTAAAAATGGGGGGGGGGTAATAACATTAATAAATATTAAACTAAAACTACTTAACAAAAAGTAACTAAATAAAAATGAATAAAAATTGAAATAAAAAATGAATAAAACCTGAAACAAAAATACATTAAACCTGAACAGCAATATAAAAAAAATAATACATAAGCATATAAAAACACAAAAAGTAAACTAAATTAAAATGAAAAATAAAAGTTTTAATTCAAAATAATAATAAAAATGATAAATAATGCTAAAATAAAACAGCACACGTGTGCGACTAATTGAACTGCTAAAAAGCTTTTATATGCTTAATTTCGTGCGACTAATTGAACTGCTAATAAGCTTTTATATGCTTAATTTCCAGCGGTTGTACAGTTGTAATCCAGTTTTATATGAAAATGTCTTAATGAGTCAGATTACAGCTGATATTATTGACTGTGTTAAAGGGTTAGTTCACCCCAAAATGAAAATTCTGTCATTAATTACTCACCCTCGTGTTGTTCCAAACCCGTAAGACCTTCGTTCATCTTCGGAACACAATTTAAGATATTTCTGATGAAATCTGAGGGCTCTCTGACGCTCCCATAGACAGCAAGGTAACTACCACGATCAAGGCCCAGAAACGTAGCAAGATGATCGACAAAGTAGTGCGTGTGACATCAGCGGTTCAACTGTAAAGTTACGATGCTACGAGAATACTTTTTTGCGCAAAGAATCTCTACTGCGTCACTTGTGGACGCATGTTCACGACAGTATCATGACGCGAGCGTGTGGTGGCGCTGACCCAGATCCGGATCTATGACGTTACTACGCCGGATCTGGGCCAGCGCAAAAAAGTATTCTCGTAGCTTCGTAACTTTACAGTTGAACCGCTGATGTCACACGCACTACTTTGTCGATCATCTTGCTACGTTTCTGGGCCTTGATCGTGGTAGTTACCTTGCTGTCTATGGGAGCGTCAGAGAGCCCTCAGATTTCATCAGAAATATCTTAAATTGTGTTCCGAAGATGAACGAAGGTCTTACGGGTTTGGAACAACACGAG